TTTTAGTTGTTCTTGGTTCGGCTTCTTCAGATTTTCTGCGAAGAGAAAAATAGTTAACGGCCCTCAAATCCCGTGCCCCAAAAAAATAAAAAAAAGAAACCCAAAGTAACAACAGAAAGTTGGACCTGGCAGGCCGATCAAACAGAATAAAACGGTACAGCAGGGGGCCAACCCTATACAGGGCCGTCGAAGCCCCTACTGATACCGGACTAAAGACAAAAAATAACCTAAGCAAAAGAAAAATCGAAAACAGGACTACCGGTCCCGCCAGGCCAAAACCTCGAGAAAAAAGTAAGAAAAAGTTAACAAAAATACCACATGGCAGGCTGGAACGTCCGCTGCAGGCCGCAGCGACAAGACAAGTGCGCACCGCGCACAATGGAGCAAATGAGCAGGTTGAAAGCGGCGTCCAAAAACGAGGTTGGAAAGGAACGCGAAAGGAACGCGTTAACGTGCTGAAGGCCAGCCTATTTATAGGCGGACGACAGCACCACAAATTAACATAATTAACTCGCTAAAGAATCCCAAAATATATTAACAAAAGATCCTTCAACTAAAGTTTATAAGAAAACAAAGAAAAGAAATGGACAAAAATCATAATGTGCCTGGGGCACATAACAGTCGGAAGCATCGTGCTAAACAGTTAGCAACTTAATGCTAGTAGGTTCCCAATGGGAAATTACATTGGGACCAAGTAGCACTAAATTGGTGACTTAGAAATGACACCGCCAAGGAACGCAGGGAGGAGAGTTTTGTGTCAGAGGTCGTGGATGAGTCTCCTCCATCATACATTTTTTATTTAGAGGAGGAAAGCGGGGTAAAAGTTGTTGTGGAAGAGGACGCCACAGCGACAGAAGCTTGGTTTGGTGTAGAACGCTTACAGCCGCACATGTTTGAGCCCTTGCCGCGCAGCACTGCCAGTTCTGTTAGCTCTACGCCTGCTGAAGACACAGACATCCATCCCCGTGAACACTGGGACGCAACTCAATGGTAAAGACAATAACTTTTATTTCAACCATTGTGTACATTAGCTGCAACGTATGAATCAAGATGCTATGACCAAAAAAATTTGATTGACAGATGAACGTTGATATATGATTGGCCGAATTTAGGTGTACAAGCTGACGTATAACTAACTGGCCTGCATAACACAGATTTTAAGACAGGATTTCTTTTTTTTGTAAAGAAATTTTCCAAATTTTGGGTCAATATAGTTTGATAAACAGTACATTTATATATATATATATATATATGTTGTAACTAGAATGATTTGACAGTTAAATATGACTTTCCTACGACTTAAAGCATGAGCCCGAGCATAAAAAGCCCTGGTCAACATAACGTGGGTAACGCTATTCACCATGGCAACGCATGGAAATAAGAAGCCTTGACACGCACATTTTTCCTCAATGAAATCTTAGTGACGGAATATGAAAAACATCAACATACTTTTACCACGAAAAGTCATACGGTTGCCTAAGATAATTGCTGAGCAAGTCAATAAGTAATTCGACAGATTATGTAATAGACCTACCCACTTATCCACCTTCCAAATCAGCATAAAAAAAATACAGCGCATTAAATAACCCAATAGACGCGAAGAGGATAAGGCAGTAAATCAAGATGAAAATGATAATACAGTTAAATCAGGTAAGTTTCTTTTTTTCGCTATTGCTTAACGTTTATCAGTTGAATTGCACAGCATTTGTTTGCTCGATTTATTATCTTACTGTGACAGTAACATTCCCAACATTATGACATACAGATGCCTTCCAAAGATTTTCTGCATCATATTACACAAAAAACAAAGTGCAACTAAACTTCTTTTAGTTTGTTAGTGCGTTTGCCCTCTTGTTCTAAAGCAATGTGTGGGTTGAGATCATTATCAAGACTATATACAGCAGTAACGCTTAGAAATATGTTCATCTGGAAATTGTGATTTGATCAACTTCTTAGTTTTCTGGGAAGAATTTGGGCTCCATCATCTGTAGGCTTCTCCATAAGAGTTTCCTTGTGCCAGGGCTCAGCTAAAAATGAAGGAAGAACCAGAGTTACCCAACCCTACTAGAGATGGTTTTTTGAAGTAGGTTACAAATGAAACTTGACACAGGATAACTGATACCTGGCTTCCTACCAACTGTATAGATACTTACCCAACCACTTACTCAGGGTTATTAATCAAGGTTACCACTCCTCTACAATGGCTAGATGTGTTGAAGGCTTCCATCTATGTTCCATCTGTCCGTCCATCCATTTCCTGTCCCTGCTCAGGTCACGAGGGTGCTGGTGCCCATCTCCAGCTGTCAATGGGAGAGAGAGACGAAAACACCCTGGACAGTTCGCCTGTCTGTCTGTAGTGGGGAAAAAGTATTTAACTATTCATCCTAGTTAAATAAACGGAGAGCAATGGATTTCACTCAGTTGGCATTTTAATTTCATATCTTTGCAAAGAGAGAACAGTACATCATACAGCCCTTACTGCTCTGTATTTAGCCCTGTTGTGCCTGGGCAGCGTGTGTTCCCCTTACAACAATGGAAATTAGTCAGAGTCAAAACAAATTACAGATACTTTGGTTAACAGCAACATGTTATGAATAAACCTTAAGAAAAAATCTGGCTTGTTAGGGGAAGAAGCTGTCTGGTCTATAAACAGCCCTCAGGAGAATTGTGTGATCTTGTAGGTGAAAGCGACTGAGTGAAAACTTTTATAGTGAGTAAATAGGATAAATTAATATATGAAATAAGAGAAATCTAAATTTTCCCACCACAGTTACGCAGGGAACACAAGACACACATACAAGGAGAAATTAGAGAAGCAAATTAACCAAACATGTTTTTGGACTGTGGGAGGAAGCCGGGGTACCCAGAGAGAACCCACGCAGAGACAACATGCAAACTCCATGCAGAAAGACCCTGGGCTGGGAATCGAACCCAGAACCTTTTTTGTGCAGGACAGTAGTGCTACCCACTACCCACTGTGCAGCCAAAGAACCCATTAACTCAACAGGTAAGATGAAAAAAAAAATCTGTAGTCTCTTGTTTATAAATGCACTGCAAAACTTAGCTCTGCTTGTCTGTTATATTCAACACATTTTCTGTAATAGTTAAACATGATGATCATCAACCACTTTTTTTCCACTTTTACCGTCTGTTTTCTAATCTTCAGGAATTCATTTAAAATACATTGATGTTTATGACACAATAAAAAAATTTTAAAAATACGAGTCAGGTCATTAATGGTTTGAGATACATTTATTGTGTAACAGCAACGTCCCTAGCATGCAAAGTCTGGTATGACACATGTAAGGCATTTTCTCCATGTAAAAGCTGCCTTTGTCACTAGGTAATCCAGTTTTAAAGTGCAAAGTCCACAGAATGAATAGCTCAGTACTACAGCACTACATTGTAAATGGATCTATTAACCAGACATGTAATGAAGAAAAACTAAAAGTCAGGATTGCTGCAAGTTAGTTTCACATTACACGATGCAATGACAGCAAAGCAGACGGATTTACAGATCCGATTCTGAGAGTTTCACACTGTGCCACAGAAGGGTTCAGACAGCTGGGTGCTGCTGCAACGACGGGTCGATCTTCATGAACCAGGAGGAGTCAGTCACTGGAAAAGACTGTAAACTGTGTCTGAAGGGTTTTGGTCTTCGGTAACAACGATAAAGACACATCTGTGTTTACATAGACACATGAACAAATACTCCCACTCACACCATTTAAAAAAAGGGTCATTTGTACATACAATCAGGTAAATCGACACATTAGACTATTAAAAAAAGCAAACAAATACAAATAAGACTCCATCTATATTAAACAAGACAGATGCAACTCAGTCAAAGAAGCGCGGGAGAGGGAATGCATTCCTTTAACATCGAACAATGAGCCGCCACAGCACCATGACAAGAGGCACGCTTCAGAAGAATCTGCTACCAACAGTTGGACCATGTTCGCCAGGCTCATGCCAAATTATTGCCATTATACCTTGTTTTTAAACCTGTGTGTGCATGTGCACTCATGCACACTAAATGGCTTTTAAATCTCGACACGATGAAAGCAGTGCAGGTAAACCAATCCTGCAGAATGGAGGATGCAGCGTTAACAACACGGGTTGAAATGAAGCTGCTGGAACAAGTTTCAGCTTCTGTTATGGACTGTTCGTCGGGATTTCATGTGTTGCTGGTTGGTTTAGATTTCTCCCTTAAAGGACACAACCAGTGCAGCGACATTTAAAAACTAAATAAACACAGAAAACATCCCTGCTTTTTACATCAGCTTAAAGACTTATATATTTCTCTTTCTATATATATATTTACATTTATATGGGAAGAAATAAAATTATTTTAGTCTTGTGTTTTCCAATGTGGCAAACATTGCATTTTAGGAGTTTGCGTGGTCATGTGTGGCACAGGTTTTGTTTAGCAGTTAAAAACGATTAAAATCAAAATAAATAGTGTAAAAAAAATAAGGAAATAAATGCCCATCAGAAAAAAAGCACTTCTGGCTAAAAATGAAAAAACTACGAGTTATTCACGCATATAAAAAAAAAAGGTAAATACACAATGTGGTCTTCAGGTCTAAATAAATAAGACAGAAAAACGAAAATAAGATGGTGATCGAAATTTGTAATGTATGGCACCCTGCTGGGGAAAAACAAAGAACAGAAAAGGAGCTTCAAGGGATCGCAGTGTCGTTCACATCCCCAGATCTAGGAGACACACACAGCTTTTCTGTCACACAGTTCTTGGCAATCTGTAAAGTTTCTACAATAAAAGTCAAATCAAGGGCTTTTTGTTCTGTTTTGATTACTTTTGCCAGCTTGTTCTGGTTGCAATCAAGGGGTTAAATAACATTTCACACAGCTAAATTAATCAGAAAGTGTCTTTTTTTGTTACACTCTAACGTCTGACTTCATGTCTGAGATCAGCTTACAGTAAAGATCGGTTGCTCTTCCCTGATCCAAAGAAAACGTTCATTTGTTTTGTTAAATCTCTAATACACACAGAGGTCTGGAAACTTCATCTCATAAATGGGGACGGATCGACTCTGGCTTTGGCCGTACCCTGAGGAAATGGTTCCAGATGGGCTGGGAGGGGGTCTGGAGAGGAGAGATAGAAGTCAACTTTCTATGTATGCATGCTGAAGGGTTCACACATTATACACACATTTCTATGCTCATATTTATGGAGTCATCAGTACTTTTTACCACATTTTTAGTATTAATACAAACAGTTCAGTAAGAAATCATGGATAGACAGATGGATGAGCAGATTAAGAGTGATTGATGGATGGAAATGGACAACTATGCTCTTTTATTGGCCTTTTCCATAATTATTCAAACCAGGAAACTCAATTTATAACATTTCCTAGCTGTGTAGGAACCCAAGTAATGCAAAGTTACAACTATTTAAAATCTTTTTCTTTATATAAATGTGTGAAGCATCATCTTTACCTGATTGTGATCTCGAATATCTGATTCAGTTTGCTCTGCAGCATAGTGGCCTAAAGGAGGCAAAATAATCATTGAGCTATTGAAGGAATATTATTAGTTACAGTAATATAGTCATTAAAAAAATAATTTTGTACCCTGGCGCCACAGTGTGCAGCGATTTCCTCAAATGGTGCCTTTTGAAACTTTTCCACAACCTGTCTCCTCCGCTCCCTCTCCTGTTCCTCCATGCCAACACTGTCCACTAGAGGGAGACAGACACAAAGCAATGCATTTAAAGACTCATTGAAAGTTATATTTTTGAGTAAAACTAGAAACATATATTGAGGTTAAAGTCACTTTTTGTTGCCTAGTAATTCGACAAATTAAACTCTTAGAAACAAGAACTGAATTTGCCAACAGAAGAGCAAATAAACCAGTTGACGTACCAATGGCATTTTTCAGCGTCTCAAATGTGATCTCCTCAGCTGGCGTCCTCTGTGAAAAGCAACCAATTAACGTTATGCGATGTCAAAGGTTAAAATTAAATGTCTAACTTGCATCAATCATTTGGGTTTGAAGAACATTACCTCCTCCTTCTCTGGACTGTTTCGGGACTCAACCTCCACCTGAAGAGAGATGGTCTCCCCGATGCTCTTTCTTTTGGACAGCCGATCTTCATCTAAAGGGAAGATATAGTGGTTGTTATTCAAGTTCTCTACAGAAGAAATGTGAGAAAGAAGTATAAAAAAAAAGACAAACAGAAACCTGAAAACTAGAAACATCTAAATAGTAGAACGAAAACTATTAATTAAATATAAACCTAAAAAGACATGGAATTAACCTGTAAAATATTTGGTCTTCATAGGAAAACATCTAATACTCTATACATCTGAGTAAAACCTTCTGCAGCTTTTCAAGAAGTTTTTTCCAGAGCTGAGAACCGTAAGAACCAAAAGGAGTACCTTGTAGACCTCTAAAGACCTGCTCTGTGATAATCTCAGAGGGCAGTTTAAAAACAATTAACGAGGATGGAGTATAAAAATTTGAAAGACGAAGTGATAAATATGATTACAACTAAAAAAAAACATGAACTATAGTATTTTTTTAATTTTACTTTAAACCAAAACATATATGTAATTTTTAAATATCCTATCTGATTTAAGGATAGCAGAATACTCCACAGTGGATGAGGTGAGAGGGTTTGTGTGAATCAGTTACAGGGAAGATCTAAGTTTCACAGAGTCAGAGAAAAACATAAGGATTATGTTTAAAATTATATTTAGATCTCCTTTCTCATTTAGGGTGGAATCAGTGGAAGTTTTGCTCATGCAGCATGTCTCATTTTTTAAAAAACAGACAGGTCGCTGTCTTCCCTTGTAGTTGCTGCACAGCGATGCTGACTGACCAGCTAAGCAAGAGGGGCTCAGAGCTGCAGTCTCTGAAGACAGTCAACTCATCATGATTGGTGGTTTTTACAGCTACCAAGTCTCAAACAACACAAAAAGCCACAAGAGATATCACTAGTCACTTTGGAAAAGCTGGTTCTGAAAAGCTGCTGAATATTCATCAGTGGTAATGAGAGCAGAGCTTTAACCCCTCCCATCAGTGCTCTGTTTCTTAAGGTGGAGGATATCGATGATACAATGTTTTCTGAGTCGGAGCCCCTCCCATGAAAAGTGAAACACCGCCTTAATAATAATTAAGAGAGCCGATACGGCTGAAGCTTGTCGGTCAATGAGGAGCGTCTGATACCAAGTTTCAATGCCTTGACTTCAGCATGTAGTAAAAGTGCATCTGGCAGAAATGTAATATTTCATAATCTTAGTGAGATGTATTGAATAAGAGTGGCCTAAAGGCCAAATTATGCTTCTCATGCATAGCATCTGCAACCTGCAAACTCTGTGTGCGACCACGCCCCCGGCAGAGGTTCTGCAGCCGTCGTCGTACACCTCAAAAAAATCCTGACTACACGTTAGACAGTCGCAAACCCGCGCAGACCTCAAGCGGAAATGCGCAGACAAAAAGCAGCTGTGATTGGTCCTTGGTATGCCTTTCCGGCTGTCTGTGTGGTCGTCCTTCTCCAATTCGGTGCCGGGGCGCGCCATTTTTAAAAACCGAGGAACAACTACGGCGAAAGGTTAATCGGTCTTTTTTCCAACTCTATTAAAAGAACTGTTCCTCTTCGATGTCTAGCAACTCTAGATCCAGCTCCATGACAGTGATATCTTGTAGATGCGGCATTGTTGTTTTGGAACACAAATAAATTAAGTTAAATGAAGTTCTCGCGAGTAATAGGCTCTCCTTGCGCATTGGCGGGAAACTGCTGTGCGCCCCTAGAAATTCCAGACTGATAGTGCAGAAGCATATCAGCAAAACTGGTCCGCAACCAGACCCAAGCGACATTTGATGTGTGCGGTTGCAGAAATATAATCTGCCCTTAAGAATAGAGCCTTGAGAAACACCATATGTAAATTTGTAGCCCAGCTCAACCAAGGAAGATTGGAAATAACTTGGAAAAGAACAAAACAATAAATTTGAAAAAAATGTTCAATAATTATTTTCTACTGAAAACATTAAAACTCTGATTTTACAGGAACTTTTCCTGTGATAATGTGTTTCTTGTATTTGAAAGATTAAGAAATAAAGCACCTGTGGTCGATAAATATCTAATTCCTTAACTAAATCACTTTTAAACGTTTAAAAAAAAGCAGGTTTGAATATTTAATATTTGTTGAGGAACATTTTTTAAACTTTTAAATACTGATTGAAGCATTAGGCAGTTCCTACCAGTGTACTGCGGGATGTAGGGTGTAGCCAGTCTCTCTGTGTTGTAACCACTTCCACCAAGGACCTCTGTGATCTTCGACTGGAGGAACAAAACGCCACCTTCAACCTTCTGCATCGAAGACGGCAGCCTTTAAAACAACAACGTGCAATTCTAAATCTTTACACAGAAGAGAGCAATAATTCACTGCGAGTTTTCTTACAAACTTCAAATCTTTTTATATAAGGAGTATTAAAGATCCTTACTTGGGATTCTCAATAAAGACATCCTCAGGCAGAAGATAAGGACCTTCTTTCTGCCTCACTTCGATTACCTGGAGGGCAACAAGAAAGGAGGAGTTTAGGAAATGTTTGTGAGCAGGCGGAAGGATTCACACACAAAAAAAAATGCAGACAGACTTCGTGTATGTGTTGGCAGAAGGCTGGGACGGTGGTGAGCTGGCAGATAAGGTTAAGGTAGGCAGCAGAGAGGGCGTGAACAGCACATCGGTTATAAACAGGCAGACCTTCATCCGTGGACAGAGCCAAGTCCTGCAACAACAAACAAAATGAACACGTCTCAAAAGGGACAGAATATTTTTTGGGTTGATTTTTATTTTGGTGGATCTTACCAAGTTACGTCTCTGTTCATACCTGCAAGGCGAGAGCCAGCCGGATGAGGTCCACCACCACCTCTTCGTTCGCCAACTCCACGCTGAGAAGACCCAGCAGAGTGTAGAGGGTCTCATAGTGCTGCTGGCCGCTGCTCTCTTCCTTGCAGCCCAGGTAGATGTGTCGGTAAAGCTGCTGGCCGTGCTGTGGGGTGGATGGTAAATTAAATGATTCAGAGGAAAGTGCAGATTTGGAAGTGTTGATGACACAATATCAACATTATCTAGTATTTTATTTTGTAGACCAAAACATTGATACTGATGATTAATGTAATCATTTCAATGGTGGCCGGATAAAACAGTAATAACAATAGTAGAACAACTGAGAGCATGAACAGTGGTTTTGTTATGGAAACCTGCTGAAGTTATCACAGATTAAGACACAGCTATGCCTTTGCGTGGTGAAGGAGTACCTTTTTCATGAATAAATTGTCCTGTCTGGAGCACTTGTCAACCTTGAGCTTCAGCACAGAGATGTCAGAGATGATGCTACACAGAAATCAGACAGAAGAGGCGTAACGGTGAAGCCGACACAACTAAAACTGCAGAACAGATCTGGCTGCTGCATACAGGAGTACTCACCTTATTTTTGATAATTTGGGCCTGTTGTCATGTCTGTCAATGAGGCTGAGGAGGATTTGGAGCACCAATAGTCGGACCTCCGGGTCATCAGTCTGAGAGAAGGACAGCAGCGGCTCCAGGAAAGAGCTGGGCAGTGCTGTAAGCATGTTGGTGGTCTGGAAACCTGCTGTCACCTTAGAGATTCATTTTTGAAAGGACGTTATTTGCTTATACAGGTGTTATATGCACAAAGGTTGGCTACAATTAGGATAAATATTATTGCCAAGTAATCGACACATCATTTCAAGACCATTAGGAAGTCTTACCCTTTATAGGGCACTCAGTAAAATACTTTGAAAATCAAAATTTCAAGCCAAGAGTGTTATTGGAATCAAGTTCAAGACACTATTACCTTTGTAACATTCAAAAAAATATGGATATTTTGATGGCAAAAAATTAATGTTAATGTAATAACAAAAAACGCTAGCTTGCCCGAATATATTAAGACAAATAACAAAAGTGCTTCTATAAGAAATTCTTGAAAAAAAATAATTGTTAACTAGGTTTATTAACCTTTTAGCTTTACTTTTTAACTTGTATTAAGCGTTTTACCTTTTTTTCTTAACTTGTTAACTTTTTTGTTTTTTTCCAACTTAATTTACAGTAGGTAATATATCATTCAAGGGCTCATCTAAGTGGTCAAATCCCAAAATAAGATGTACAGCCATGTAGCAGTATCTTTGCTGAATAGCTGGATATAAATCTTGGGCTTCTAGACCAAACTGAGGGATGGTGGGGACTAAATTTGTAATGGGTATGCAAGTGATAAAAAACTGTAACTTGCCCTATAAAGGGTTAAAGTTACTTATCTTTCAGAAAATCCCTTAATTACTCAATTTTTATACATACATCTCCTTTCCTGCTTGAAACCTTAAAGGAAAAAGACATCTTTTAAACTTTTAGGTCATTCAAAAAAGAATTTACCTGCACCAAGGACTTGAGCAGCATAACCTGAATCATTCTTGTACCCTCAGGCCTGTGAAAGAAAACTTTTACATTTAAACTTTGATCACATTAAATATGTTTTCACAAAGCAGATAAAAAATGCTTTGGGTAAAGTTTAAAAAGACGGACTGATTTGTGAAGAAAACCAAACATACTCAGATTCAGTGGAAGGCAGAGTCAGATTTACTCCAGGGACGGGGATCTTTCCCATGATGAAGAGCATCACCTCTGACCTCTGGTATGTAGGTAAGGTGTTGGCAAATGAGCCTGGAAAACAGCAAAACAGAAATATGTGTATAATTTATAAAGAGCTTTGTCAATACTTAGAAATGAGAAAAGACATCGACAGATTGACAAAAAGACTGACCGATGGTCGTGATGACAGCCTCCTGCAGCTGCCTCTCTTCGTGAGCTTTGATGATCTTGGTGCCGATGTTGGTAGAGCCGTCATAGGAGCCGGTCAGCTCGTAATCCACGCTCAGACGAAGTTGCCTCAGCAGGGTGTTGAACACCTCCAACACAGTAGGGCCTGCATTTACACACAAAAAAAGGCTCAACATTTAAAATCTTGCAAGCAGATTTTTATTTATGCCACAGCTTAACGGACCTACGGAGCCGCTGGCTGCAATGGCAGCTGCCTCTAGCAGCACTTCTACAATGCCAGCCCGCACTTTGGCTGAGTTCTTGCTGTTGGCGTCCAGGTGGCCGAGGAGTTGCTGGATTACCAAATGAGAGTGTTGGGACTACAACAAGAAGAGCACAAGAGAAACAGCTTGAAACACCAGTGAAAAAACTGCAGGAAACTGATGAGTAAAGTCAATTATTTTAGCCCTTTCAAAATCTGCACACACTGCAAAACATAAATCTAATGGAAGTGAGCACTGAAGGCTCGACTGTGTGAGTCTAATAAAAACCTGAGAATTTCCTGCTAACATCTGGACTTAGAAAGGAGAAAAAACAGAGTGAGATACAGTTTTTAGAGTGAGTCATTTTCTCTCTCACCTGGATGGAGTACATGATGATTTTGAAACAGCGCACAGCAAAGGTCTTTCCCTCCCATAGAGAGTGGTTATCTAAGTGCCTGGAGCGGGAGGGGGCGTAATAAAAAGAAGCCAGAGGAAATTGAGAGGAGAAAAACACAGACAGCACTGAGATGTAGAGGTGGCAATAAACATGTGAGAGTAAACATTGGTTAAACTAACAATCATTCCTATATCTGCACAAAGGCAGCCTGCTGAATGAAAAAAAATATTGAACCATCTGCAAATTCATTCTGTTGTGCCAGAAACCCCAAAATATTACATTTTCTGCACAACACACCTTCAAAAAACACATTTTCAGCAGAAGTCTGTGAGAAAATCTGAAGCTATAAATGGAGGTTAAAAAGCATTATTAAAGCTGTTATAACTGACATGGAAGAAGCAGTAAAAAATGTTCTTTATTCATATAAAAATATATTTAAAAGAGTTGAGAGGTTCAAATTTGTTTATGTATGGTGTGAAAACGAAGCACATTTATGATCACAATGTGCTGAAAACTGCATTATAAAATAACATATCTGCCAGTGGTAAGCACTTTGATTGTGACCAAATGATATCAATGTTTACAACATATCTAATATTTACAAAAATGTTGATATTTTCCTTTAACTTGAAAATGACCATTTAAGTCACTGGTTAAGTTTCAGCAAAACTTTCCCTCCAACAAAAGGCTGAGGAAATCTTTAGCTTAGGGACAGGAAATAAGGCCATGAGGTAGAAAACAGATAACAGGAGATGGGAATAGATTAATGCATTACCAGTGATTGATTCAATGCTACAAGCTACAGCGAGACTGAATGACCAGATCAAAGAGAGTTCTGGAGACGTGAACAGATCAGGAAACTAAAGTAACACCAAAAAACAGGGATGTTTTGATAAAATCATTTCAGTCCAATGATGCGACCTATACACAGCGTCAGAACAGCTTTATATCATTTAAAAATCCCTGTTAGAAATGAACCCGATCCAGCCGATACCCTTGCATTGCCCTTGTCGCTCTCCTCTGAACCGATCAGTAGAAAGATCAAAAAGCCTAAACAGAACCCTCAGATCAAGCATTTCCCCCCATCTAGCTAATGTGTTCACATATCCAAACAACAACAACACAAGAGAGACATAAAAGGAGAGTCAGGAATTAGCCTTACATCAGGACGGGCGTGACGGCGTTCTTGATGTTGCCGTAGGCGGCTCGACCCAGCAGCTCCCTGAAACAGCGCTCCGTCAGCTCCACCGGGCTTTCCTTCTCCTTCTCCGATGCCTGCAGCGGAGAAGGAGAGCGGCTGGTAGGGAGCGGCGCAGGTGATGGAGCAGAAGGAGAAAGGACGAAGAGAGGAAGAGAAGAGAGGGATGCAGACAGAGAGAGAGAGTGAGAGAGAGAAGGAAAAAAGATTGAGAGTCAGTAAAGAAAACATACACACAAAGCACAATTTCTTACAGAATAAAACAAACAGGATCAGCTAAATCACTGCGTCACTTCTAACTGGGTCGACTTCACTGGCTGCAGTTCATCTGCAGCAGGAATTAGCCTCAGCTCACATTTATGCATCGCACATCTGTTTTAACCATGGGGGACATGTTCGTGTCCAAAAGTCTATTTACATTTTTGGGTTATGCTAATGCATAATTAAAATCATATTCCACCATTAAACCATCGAGACAAGCTTCTGAAGGCATTATTTATTCTCATCCTTGTTCTTTATCCCATCGGTTCCAGGATTGTAACAAATAATCAATGTTTTCCTCACAGCAATAATATTTTCAATATAACCCTGAAAAGTGCAGAAAAAATGTATAAATAATAAAACTAAACAGACCCGAAATAAGGCTCCAACACGACTAAATCCCATGGGAACAATTTCCACCATAAAGAAATTCTTTTAATATATTGCAGCAGAGCTGAACTAAATATGTAAAAACAATATTGCACTTCATTAGAAATCATACGTCCAGATTTATAAGGGGCATTAACATTTTATTTCGGTTTAATTGGAAAAATAATATCTGAAGTCATAGACGGAAATATGTAGAGCTGCAATACTTCAGTGTGTTTTGTTTGGAGGGTGGATGGGGTGTTAATCAGCTCTTCTCCGCATTACTCATTCATGTTATATAATAAAGCATATACACTCACCGGCCACTTTATTAGGTACCCCATGCTAGTAACGGGTTGGACCCCCTTTTGCCTTCAGAACTGCCTCAATTCTTCGTGGCATAGATTCAACAAGGTGCTGGAAGCATTCCTCAGGGATTTTGGTCCATATTGACATGATGGCATCACACAGTTGCCGCAGATTTGTCTGCTGCACATCCATGATGCGAATCTCCCGTTCCACCACATCCCAAAGATGCTCTATTGGATTGAGATCTGGTGACTGTGGAGGCCATTTGAGTACAGTGAACTCATTGTCATGTTCAACAAACCAGTCTGAGATGATTCCAGCTTTATGACATGGCGCATTATCCTGCTGAAAGTAGCCATCAGAAGTTGGGTACATTGTGGTCATAAAGGGATGGACATGGTCAGCAACAATACTCAGGTAGGCTGTGGCGTTGCAACGATGCTCAATTGGTACCAAGGGGCCCAAAGAGTGCCAAGAAAATATTCCCCACACCATGACACCACCACCACCAGCCTGAACCGTTGAAACAAGGCAGGATGGATCTATGCTTTCATGTTGTAGACGCCAAATTCTGACCCCAGGCTCACACCGACTCTGGTCTTACCGTTGAGGTGCGGTGGGTGCGGCGCCGCAGTGATTCAAAGTCATTAAAAAGACGTAAACCTCTCTCACCGGCTGCTGAGCTGTCCGGCTGCGGTTACCGAGACACTCCGGCGCTGCAGAAAATTCCGCAAGAAAGCTATCCTTGCGGCGTGCCGGAGCCCTCCGCAACAAGCTCTCGCAAATATCCTTATTTGGGCCGTGTTATCGCGTGAAGTTACGTGAACTCAAGTGAACTTCTGTTAAATCTCCGGACCTGTTGCCGGAGCCGCAGAGCCGCACCGCACCGTAGTCAAAAGGGCGGTGTGAGAGGGGGTGTGCGGGAGTTGCGGTCTCCGTCGGCTCGGTAACCGCACCGGAGCCAGTGTGAGCAAGGGGTGACCCTACCATCCGAATGCCGCAGCAGAAATCGAGACTCATCAGACCAGCCAACGTTTTTCTAATCTTCTATTGTCCAATTTCGATGAGCTTGTGCAAATTGTAGCCTCAGTTTCCCCTTCTTAGCTGAAAGGAGTGGCACCCGGTGTGGTCTTCTGCTGCTGTAGCCCATCTGCCTCAAAGTTCGACGTACTGTGCGTTCAGAGATGCTCTTCTGCCCACCTTGGTTGTAACGGGTGGTTATTTGAATCACTGTTGCCCTTCTATCAGCTCAAACCAGTCTGGCCATTCTCCTCTGACATCAACAAGGCATTTCCGCCCACAGAACTGCCGCTCACTGGATGTTTTTTTCTTTTTCGGACCATTCTCTGTAAACCCTAGAGATGGTTGTGCGTGAAAATCCCAGTAGATCAGCAGTTTCTGAAATACTCAGACCAGCCCTTCTGGCACCAACAATCATGCCACGTTCAAAGTCACTCAAATCACCTTTCTTCCCCATACTGATGCTCGGTTTGAACTGCAGGAGATTGTCTTGACCATGTCTACATGCCTAAATGCACTGAGTTGCCGCCATGTGATTGGCTGCTTAGAAATAAAGTGTTAACGAGCAGTTGGACAGGTGTACCTAATAAAGTGGCCGGTGAGTGTATGTCAGGGTAGTCTATCAATATGACTTAAGCAAACTGAATCAAATATAGCTTTAGATTTCAGTATCAGTGCTTTTCAGAAGAGTCCCAATTGTTTGCATTCTCAACATGCACAGGCGATTAAGGAGAGAGAAAGCGCAAAATAATAAACTTTTTTAGCTCCTGATTCAACAACATAAAAGAAAAATCTCCCCCTCCATGTCACATTTACATCCTTCTACATTCACTTAATACAAAAAAAAAAGATGTATGGTTTCTATTGCAAAATGCTACCCATGAACACCATGGACACTTCCTGCAGCCTTCTTTGAATTCTCCACTTCCATTCAACAACTGAGCTTGTTTAGTTACTTCAATGTAGTTAAAGCATGTGATGCACCGTCGGTAAGAATAAGCTTCTATTCCGGGGCTGCAGAGTGCAACCAAATTTGACATGTGATTCAAAAACAAATCACTATTCACAAAAACAAACAAAGAAACTCTTATTGTAAGGTTAATTTGCACAATTTACTGGACTCTAGTATTTGAATAAACAATCAGGCAAACCTCTCTGGCCTAGACGCTAAAATCTGACCTCAGCAAGACATTTTCTAGAAAGCCAACAGTTCAGCAGTTTATTTTTTTTCCTGCAGCAAAATTACACTTCACTTTCAATCGATTGCGCTTTTATTTCTGCATAATCTGCTTAAATGAAAACAGTGGTGGTCTTTGAAAATGCAATTCTGTTAGCAGTTTTTGTTACTGGCATAGATCAGTCTTTTTCAACCCTGGTCCTGCCAGGCACACTGCCCAGCATGTTTTAGATGTTTCCCAGCTTTCACACACCTGTTATCAATTGATAGCAGATTATCAGGCTTTGCTGACCAGGGTTGAAAAACACTGGCATAGATATACATAATAATAGGCAGACTTTTTATAAAATGAATTCTTAGCACTTTGTGAAAATGTGACGCAGGGGGGCTCTATTTTCTAAGTGGCTGTTTTAAGACCGCAAAAAAGCTGTGAAATAAAACCTTCTGAGCTGTTCACTAGTGAACTGAGGAACTTCTTAACAGCAGGTGTTCAAAGCCTCTCAGGTCTGTTAGCATCTTAAACAGAATTTAACAAACCATGCTTGAACTTTTACTTAAAGCCACTGTTAGCCTTAACAATTAACCCTCTGCTGAAGTTATTCTGAACTGTCCGATCTGTGAATCAAATATTCTGCATCCACAGGGATAAACGGAGTGGAGCAAAATGTTCAACCTTGAGGTAATTAGATTCTGCACTGACTGCAGTGGGTAATGACAAGCAGGACTCGGTGTGAGAAGGAAATGAGGATGCACAGCAGGAGCAGAACCACAGAACACAAACAGAGAAGACAGTCTGTCTATGCCTCGCTGTGACAATAGCCTCCATGTTTCTACAACTCCACGCTCCAATATCCATCCTTCGGTATTCTGCTTCCCCTTTGCTCCCTCGTCCATCAGACCTTGGAGTTGACGTCAAAGGGAATTTCAGAATGAGGAGCGCTGCCAGCAGAGATTCTCTCACCAACTGGCACCTTCAAACTCTTCCTTGAGCTTTTATTCTCCACCCACACCAATTTTTTTCTCTCCTTACATCCTCCTCTCTTGTCTTCTTAAATATTTCAACCCACACCGCGGTGTGTTTGTTCTTGCATTCTGCTGGTGGTTTAATAAAACCCCCTGAGGGAGCAGAGCTTTCAGTGGGTTCAGAAAATGACAGTAATGATAAATGGCAGAGTTATAGGTGAGACTCGGAGGCTCTGGACTGTGTTGTTAAGGTCTGGAAGGTCTGGACTGGAGCCTCAACATAATCACCACAGATCAAATCTGACCTGTTTGCTAAAAGTTACATACACATTGTATGACAGCCTGTCTTTGGAAAGAAAAAACTATCCAATGCTTAGCATGGTCTTGTGCAAAAGTCTTGGGTTAATCCTTTCATCCTTGTTTTCTGATCAATAAATATGATGGTCCATTTTCCTAATGGCATCAGTTTTAGTTTAGTTTATTACCTGCAAATGTAAGGAAAAAAAAAAAACTTTTGTTCAGAATCAAAGTGATATATTAGACAAAATCTGAGCTTCTTTTCTAAAATATTTCAAAATCTGCTATTCTATAATGTGGTTTGTTACCTAGGACATTCATACTCAATTGAAGTCCTCTTCTTTACTTTTATTAGGCTTCAGTGCATAAAAATATTGTTTGGGTTCAGCTAACTGGTTATCTCAAGGACAGGACAGCATTTAATCTCAACAGCCTGAAAATAGTTCAAGTAATATACATCTAACTGTAAATATGTATAAAATAATGCAACAGGTCAAATAAACAGTGGTGCAAAAAGTGGGTATGCAGTGTATGCGACGCATAGTGGCGCTGCACTAGAGGGGGCGTCAAAAACCCCTCTAGAAAAAATGCTTTTCCAGTTGGACTTTTATATTTAACAGCATAAAATGCTGAGAGAGTGACGGCACTAATTATGTGCCCCTCTGATCCTTCACCTCCCCTCCTATGCTCCCCCTTCCCACATAGGTGGCTTGGGCACACGCCTCTAAGAGAACGCACTCAGACAAGTTTTTGTTTTTTTATCTTAGACAATGGCTGCATTAGAATTCATGGCCTGCGTCTTCCAAGGACGCGGTCTATCTGGATTGGATCCTTCGACGTTCGCGAAAATAAGGAGACCAGAAGATTTTTGGCTGTGAATTCAAACAGACACATTTCCTCATTCAAGAGAACCTTGATTTGGTATTTCCAGATTTGACAGTAGCCCTTAGTTAGAGTATTTTTAACCATGCCCCTTCAGTTGCATCTGCAGAGAGACCATTTAGCAAGCTGAAGATCATCAAAACATACCTTCGTTCAAATATGAGGAACGATCGCTTGTCCCAGTTAGCAGTGATCTATACTAAAAACAGTGTGGCACGGTCTATATCATTTGATGCTACTACTGTTGTTTAGCTTTACTTTATTAAACTTCTTATTTGGTTATGATTGAAATGATCACCTGATATAATATGCAACATAAAACAAATTCTATTATATGACTACTGTATTTTGTAAGTGCATGACTAAAGGAGAAATGAAATGTTTAATTTTATGGATGTTTACAAATCCCTTTTGATAGATTTCTGAAGTGAGTTGATAAAAAAAAAGATTTCCGTAAAACTTGAGTTAAAATAACGTGATAGTTGATATCAGACAATGACACCAATCTCTTATTTCTAAAGTAAACAGTAAGACTTTCATATGCCATTAAAATCACTGTGGACATACTATAAGACCTCTTTTATCATCATCCAATGTCTTCATTTATAATAAATGATAAAATGTCAGAGCCAGATAAAAAAAATACAATGAAAGACCCTTTAGGCAGACTGGAGAAATACAGATGAAGAATACTTCAAGAGCTCACAAAAAAGTCTGTTTATTAGTGAGAAAAAAAAGGTATTGAGGATGAATCAAAACGTCTCCATAGAACTAAAACATATTTTTTCATAAGGTTGATGGAAGATAATTATAGTTCTGTGGTTCATAAAAAAAGAAATGTGCTGCTCTCATTTTAAAATGTGCTTCTTTTAACTTTGGAAATATAAATATCTTTATCTCAAGGTAAAATTTTAGAAGTAAAAAGATAAATTACCGTACAGTAACAGAGAGAATATGGAACCTAGTATTGAGTTGAAATTCAGAGCAGGAGGATTTATTGGTCTCTTGGAAAAAGAAATAATAAATAAAAATAAAAAACCTACATTAAATCTTTATTTTTTGGATCAATAAAGTATTCTTTTGTGGAAGATATTGACTAAAGCTAGCAGGATCAAAATTAGCCGATCTTAGATTAAGTAGGATGTTAGAAGTAAATTCAGAGGTCAGAAGGCGGCTAAATTTTTATCTACAACATATCGATCTATGTTGGCTACATGTGAGAGAACAAGACTTTCAGCAGCAACTATGAGGAGCAAAAGTTCATTTGTTTTTTCCTGTGAGGTACCCTGTTACTCGACATAAAGAGCAAAGAAAGCATTACAATAATGCTATTAGAGCTAATTGCTGTGACTAGATATTTTTCAGGTTTAGTTAAACCTTTAAACATCAATTCTGAAGGGTGTGAAACAAAATATTAGGTTATGGGGGTCCAAATACTTTTCTTCAAGCCGTTTTCATTTGGATAAAAACAGGCTTTGTTCCATTCATACGTGATAAGGGCAGCGGCGGCTCTCACCTCTCTGTGCGCTCTCCACTCTGCAGGTTGAAAAGCAGAGAGGGGACGATCTTATCCATGTGTTGGGGGTCCCAGATGTTTGCTTGCAACTCATCGTTGACGGTCTTCCTCACCACACCCTGCAGACCCTTAATCCCCGCCATCCGGATCCTGCAGGCACAAAACATATGTGACAGAAATAACTTGATTGATGTTAAGAGTTTTAAAATAGGTCAGCTGTATTTTTACCTACTGCTTGATTGTAGCTAAAATTATCTCAAGAAGTTTGGTTTTGTTTCTGCCATATTTTCAAAAGGAGTTAATAAAACACTTGAGGCAAAAAAAACACTTTCCACTTTATCTAAATCTAGCATTTCCTGGCTATTTTTATCTTCAGAAAACAAACAAGGCATCTATTTCCATACTTGGTACGGATGTCAGGGTCCTCATAGTTCGAATGGCACATCTCACTGAAGCGTGACACAAAGAAGTCGTAGCTGCGGTGGTACGATGGCGTGTCCTCTTCTATATTGGCAAATTTCACAAACTGAAAGAAAAAAAAACAAGTAAAGGGAAAAATAATATTCACATACCGGTAATTTGAATTATTATAGCACCTCTGAGCATATAGAGTTTGTAAAAACAGTTTTAATTAAACTGAATTTTCCATAAGATCTAATTAGGAGTGAATAACGCAGAGCAGAGGGGGAGATCTCCCACTGGGCTGGGAAATGTCAGCAAAGTCAACAGGCTGACATTCAGCTTCAAAACATCATCAAGTTAATAAATTATGAACAGTTTTTTTTTTAATCAGGCTGAATCTTAATGGTACTTGAGGTACTGATTACATGAGGAGCAGCCACTACAGTAGATAACAAAACCAAATAACCTCTCTTTTAAAATAAGTGTCTAGATTAGGAAGCTGTTGTGTAAAAAAGGCAAATTAATCTTTGCTGAATGTATAACTAGGCTTGTATTTGAAGGGGTTTTTATACATATAGAGTATTTAAGTGAGCTCATCACTGCTGATGATTCCTGAAAGCGATCCGGCTCCTGTCAACACCTCCCAGGTATAAATGAGAAAGCTTTAAGATATAGTAGCTACAGAGAAGATAGAGTATATCTTTGGTTTCTGGTTGCAATCCAAGGCAACACAGAGAGAAATGAAGCCTGCTTCAAGCCCTGTTCATAGCAGAGTAATTCACTGGGCTGTATTAAAAGAAATCAACCCTTTCTAACTATTAACCTTAGTACAGAATGTGAAAAAATCTTAATCTGGATACTGCAGAGTATATAAGTGTGTTTGAGCCCAGACTTGTACTCAAACTCTTCATTTGGGCGACATTATGAGAGTGAAGTTTCCATCTTTCACCAGTCCATTGACTGTAAAGCGTTGCATTTGAAGTCTAAAGTTAATTTAATATCCTTTATGTGCCCTCTGCTGGCACGGCCGGCGGCACCAACTGCTGCTTCCCACATAAGAGGATACTCATCACTCTTTCCTCCCGACGTTCTGCGCCGAGCTCTGATCCTTCACAGTAGACGTCTCCTCTTAAGGTTTTAACTTTTACCCTTTGAAATCACAACGTGAAAGTAGATAAATCCTGTCAGGGTTTTGACTGAATGTTACATCTATATTAACTCTATGCTGTAGGATGTCTGCTGACTTTATGAAAGATACAGAATAAGATACTACTAGGCACGTTTTTACTATATGTATTATTATGCTATTAGAGCCAAGCTATTTCCTAATATTTTACAATTACAATTTTATATTATTTTCCCTATTTGAAAAAAACAGCTGTTTGAGGGGGAAAAAAAAAATCTACAGATTTTTATTACAGAATTTTCCAACCTTTCCCAGTTAAACTAACATTTAACTAATAAGATGTTATTTTGGGCTTGAGACAGTAGACCCTGCTTTATCTAACTAAAATAACAGTTTTAGAATTATAACCATTAAAACCAATAAATGAGTATCCCAGCCAGTGTTTTCGTCAAAAATGACGATAACGACATTATTTCGTTGACATTCCTTTTTTTTCCATGACGATAACGAAAACTGACAAGCTAAACATGGATCTTTTATGACTAAAACAGGACTAGTCATAGGTTTAAGTTTTTGTCAACGAGACCAGACTAAGTAAAAATTAGGGAGCAAACAAACAAGACAATGATCAGCCCTGATAGCTGGAACTGAACCCAATATAAGGGAAACCGGCAGGTGGATGTGATGAGTGATAATTAGGAGCTGGAAAGAGTTAAGCAGGTGAAAGGCATGAGTAATTAAGGCCAGCTATCACAGCAGATCATGACAAATATTTAATTGCATACAATTTATTTCTAGTTAAAGAGCCAGGTGAAAAGGTATATAGATCGTTGAATATTTCTCTCTCATTGTTCTCGTTTCTATCTATTCAAATATTATGTAAATGTTTCCTTGAATTGTCATTAAACCATTTTCTCTGTTTTCTTTAAATATGTCAACATTTTAGTTAACATATTCAGTTAATTTAGGTTTTGATTAGGGCTGCAACTAACGATTATTTTAAAAATCGATTAATCGGCCGATTATTTTTTCGATTAATCGATGAATCGGACAAAAAATATTTTTTATACTAACCTCTTTATTCCAAAATAAACATTTTAGACAGAACAAACAAGCACACAAGTACAGGTTGCTCATTAACTGTACTGGTGCAATATGAAAAATAAATGTTTGTGTTAAAACTACGCAAACTTACATGAGAAATGTAGCTGTACATCCACAAAATATAGGGTACTTTGTTTCACAAAGCGCAAAAAAGACAGGCATTTTTGTTTTTAAAAGCCCCTAAGGGGTTCAAACAATAGATCCCCCCATTTCAACAAATGAGTTTTTTTAGACTAGAAGAGTTCTGCCTTTTAAGACAGGAAAGTATAGCAGTTAAAGTTGCTAATTGAGAAAATACTTAACCATAGAGATAAAAATAGCCCTGTGATTCAAATTATAAATTGTATTTGGAATAAAAATGAGAGAACTAGGGGTGGTAAAAAAACACATCCTCCAAAGACAGATATTTACATGGGAATTTGGCATATAATTAATTGACATATTACTGATCTTGCTGGATTTTATTCTGCTTTACTTCCATAAATTGCAGGATCTTCTTTACTTTATCTTTGCCAGAAGATTTAAACTTTAAAAGCCTTGCCCTCATAATTTGCAAGTTAATTTATTTATAAAGGCTATTTTAATTATTGTGATCAATTAGCGCCGTCAATCCCGGCGCATGCGCGCTTCATTTGCAGTCTGGACGCTGAAACATCCTGCGGCTCTCACAGCAGCGCTGAGAGGGATTCCTGCGGGAGAACGGGGTTGGGATGGGGGAGGCGCCTCACGGCAGCAGCTTCTGCTGCAGGACAAGAGTAGGAACGATACATGCTTTCACGTAAGAGTCTCCAAAAGCCGCCAGTGACACCGTAAAAACTCGCCAGATTTGTCGCTAGTCCCTTTTTTTTAAAAATAGTCGCTGGAGTGGTCTGAAAAGTCGCTAAATATAGCGACAAAGTCGCTGAGTTGGCAACACTGCACCTGCAGCGCTGACTCGCTCTGCCGTATTTTTTTTTCTTCCCCCGTTTCAGTCAAGTGGCAGTGATGACGGCGGCGGCGGATGACGCATTAATCGCGCGACACAACTAATCGATGATGAAATTCGTTGCCAACGCTTTTAAAAGTCGATTTTTATCGATTTTATCGATTCGTTGTTGCAGCCCTAGTCTGGATTGCCATGGAATTACAAGGCAATTATGTAGGTTCTCTCTGTCTTTGTTTATATCAAAACCCTGTGAATTAAATTCTACTTTGACCCCTGAGCAGTTGTAACTGAGGGGGAAATAGAAGAAATAAAGCTAAAATTGCCAAAGTAGAGAGAAGAATCTTTTTTTTCCTTTGCTTTTTACAAGCAATGAAGATTTTATTGATCTGTGTGTAATGCATAATTCATAGTAGATCAGGAAGTATTTGCTTTAATGATGGAAACCTTGTATGTCTAAAACCATTCTTTTACTGTACATTTTGTTAGCTTCTCTGTCGGCTATATTAACCAATATGATGTGCTGAACTAGATCAGCTATTTTCACAGCCTTTGTGAGACACATTTTAATAAAGTAGGGCATTTATTCATAAAAATTACTTGAATTCTATAAATCAAAGTTTTCTGCCCAACAGCAATGATGAACATTGATTCTATACCCAGCTATTGTTGTATCTAGGCTAGAGCTGTCAGTCTGTTAAATAATCTGGTTGTTATTTTAAATTGTAACACTTAACTTTTTTGCAACATAAAACTGACTAAAACTAGAGTAAAACCTTTTTAAGTTTTAGTCGACTAAAACCCACTAAAACGATTACATATCGTAATGACTAAATTGCGACTAAGACTAATCCTGAAGACTAAATCTAAGATGGCTGTCAAAAACAACACTGATCCCAGCGAATTAAACAGCGATAAGATTCATAGCAACATGAGGAAAAAAGACTAATTGGTGTCAATAAAAAAAAAAAACACAATCACATATTTAAACATGTGGATTGTAAATGTGCTTAAAATAAATAAACTTCTAGTAATCTTGAACCATCTCATTAAGAAAAATTAATAAAGAATGGGAAGCAAAGATAAAGGTAACTGTCGTAAAGAAATAAAACTTTATGGATCATGTAGTAAACTCACAGAGTTGGTTCCTAGGATCTGCAGATTGGGTTTGTCAGACTCCAGCAGCTTTCGCACCATCTTTAGAAAGCTTTCCACAAACAGGTTGATGCTCTGGCAGTGGCAGGCCATCAGCAGCTGGTCCAAAGCTTCCATGGCAATGCACACATACCTCAAAAGCAAAAGCAAGAAAAGGACATATTTAACTTTCAAAACAAAGAGAATATTATCTTTAAGCAGAAAATGCTCATATTTTAGTTTGTTTCTTTTTGCTAATTGAATTAGAACAAATGAAAGCCAACCTCATCCGTCTTTGGATAACTCAGCAGACTGATGATGACTAAGAATTTTATGTTTACAACACATAATATCATCCACATACATCATGAAGGAGTGTTTCTTAATCTCTTTGATGACTTCTAATCTTGTCCAGAGATCAGTGATATAAGGAGATTATAAATGTAACACATGTCTTATTACATCATAGCTTAGCTATCTGAAATTCTTCCCAGAATTGCACAATGTCAGCTTTAATGGTGATAAATTTAATCCTGTGGGAAAATGTTTGAACCTGAAAAGTGATAAAACAGGTGACTGTAGAGCAGATAGAACCATAATGACTAAAGCATACCTATAATTCAGGGGGAAAGAGTCTTACCCATATCTATGTCGGGCCACATCCCTCGACAGCCTCTCAGATAGGTAAGCCCCGATACGGTCCAGTTTCTCTGGAGCTGACAGGGCATAAAATGTCAGCTTCTCCATGTTGGCCTTGACCAGTCCATCCTGGCAGGGTTATGAGAGAACACAGAAAGACCAGAGGGAGCCAGAATGAATACATCTTCTAATGTTTTAGTATATTAGCATTGAAAAATATGTTGTCACTCTCAAAATTCACTTTAAGTGTTTGAATGTTTATAGTAAAACAATATTTTGCTGAAAATTCAGAATAATCTAATGAACACAGTGAAATACTTCTTCTCAATCCAGCAAGTTAGATGCAAGCATATAACTGGATCACTAAGTTTCCACTCTACCCCCACCCCCAACACCCCACCCGTCTGTGACCTACTTCACCACTCTTCACTTTGGCCAAAGAATGGAGAGTGAGCTAAAATCACATGTCCTGAGCCTATTGAGGTTCTAATTTTACTGAAGCAAGACCCAAAACCCCTCAAAGTAGCACTGCAGATGTAAGGAAAACAGATACAGTCTCAGTCTACTCTAAATGTATAAATTAGCTTGTTGGCTGCATTTGGAGCAGAAATTCAAGAGAAGGTGTAGATACTAACATCCTGAGCCGCTCACAGCGACTTGGTTTCTTATCTTAACTGCACTTCTAGAGCCATACTGAGTCCGAATGTGAACAGATTATCGATTTTTGTTTTATTAACCCAGTTTCTGTGAATAAAGGTTATATGTGTATTAGATGGGAACATAATATCATATCGTATCGTATTGACTGAAGAGTTGTCGATTTTATTTCATTGATGACAGACTTTGTGACATCAGCAAACATTATACTGATCTATCAAATGAATATACTGTAATTTACACCCTTACAACCCACTAGGGGCAGCATCATTTAAGTAGTAAGATTTCCGATTCTCACTTTTCCAATACCCACTTTGAGTAGTTCAGCTTCTTTAAGTAAAACTTACATTTTTTTAATGGTCTTTTTAATCATTTACCACAGCCTGTGAAGGAATGTTTAAATAAAACATTACTGACATCATAAACGTTAAGACTTTTTTTCAAGTGCTATGTGATCAAACTGCTACTCCAGGTTTACCAAAATCAATGACAACATAAAGGGACCACTGTTATTCTCCCAAACACTTCAGAGCTAAAATCCTAAATCTACTATGCAAAAAAGCCATTCCAAATACTGAACCCTGTCAAAACATTAGGTTTACATAAAAATACAACCCAACAGTTACTCTGTAAAAACCATGAAATACTGTGAATGTGCTGACAGGCGACATAGCAGTGGAACAGTCATGATTAAACCATAGATAATAGGTTAATTTGTTGGATATTAAAGGGGAACCATTAGAGCAGCAGAAAGCCAAAGTTGGAAACCTTGATAGGGATTGGAAGCTGCAAGTGCTCAATTTATACAAACAAAATTAGAAACTGGTGTAAATGCACCAAAATGTAGCTGTATTAGAACTTCCTGACATATTTAAAATCTAAATCAGGTTAAAGCAGGTGCAGCGCAGCTTTAATGAAAAGTTTCCTTTGCAACATCAGTCTCTTCATCTCCACTAAAATGATTTCTCTTTATGACTCATGAGTCAGATTCCAGGGAATCAAAGGAAATGTAGCACAGGTGATGCCTGAAGCAGCTCAGGAAGAAAATGAATGTAAGGTGCACTTTGTTTGTTTTTTATCCTTGGTCACTTACAAATTTATTACTGAACCTAAATAAATAAAATTAATCTGTGCTTAAAAAAAACTGCTTCAGAAAAAAAAGCCTTTAAATCTGGGTAAAAATAGTTTTACCAGCCATTACTTATTGTTTTAATGTTGCGAGAAGCTCACTCAGATTCAGTAGCAGATCTCACAAAAAGAAGAAACTTTACAAAAGCCACCTAAAAAGAGGCCACATTCTCTGGGCAGCCTTTTAAGGAGTGTGAGGCACACCAAAGAGGAGGGCACAGAGAGAAATGAGGTCATTGATGGAGAGGATCCACTGGCTTGGTGGTAAATGAATGAAAAACATGTCCCATTGATATCACAAATAGCACAGCATACCCAACAACATAAGAAAACCTTCAGAACCCGCCTTTAGAACCACTGGGATGATTGTAAACTAAAGTGTAAAGTGCAAAATACATCATCAGAAAGCATCACAGAGGAAAGAGAGCCAGCAGGTTTTCTTACCTCTGGGTCTTCTGGGAAGATGTTGTCCACCAGTCTCTTGTACCGAGGCCTGAGTGCCCCGCAACAACCACAAACCCCTGATGAGAGACAGACAAACAAAGAGACATGGTCAATTAGTCTCATATATATACGAGAAAAAGGGCCATAAAAGTAAGAGTAGGTTTATTTTATCCAGATCTTTTAAAAGGCTCTCCATTTACACAAACTCTCTCCTTAAAAATGAAATAGAAAGTAATCACTTTAGAGATACATCAACCAGTGGGTGCCCTTAAAGTGCTTCTAGCTTTAGTTGAGACTCATTTACCAACTTGATTCAAACTAAAGTTGGTAGTGATGTGCAAACAAAGTGTTTAAACAAAGAGGTAGAGACACAATCTGCTACTAAGGGAGCCAGTAAACACATCTGGAGCCAGCTGAGAAAGCTGACATACTGAGACACTAAAATGTGTTAATGAAAGGTTGGATGTTTGCTGCAGGCACTAATATTTATGTAAACAAAGACCAAATCCACAGGAACAGATATGGGCAACCCAACGAAAACAGCTCTGAGATGTGCAGCAAAGGCAACATGAAGAAAGATGGTTCTTTTCTTGACTTTGCATTGGAGAGACAAACTATGCAGCCAGACAGAGCTGATTTCTGATTGGCTGACAGAATTCAGCAGTGGTGAGTCATAAACACAGGCAGGGAGAACGAAGATAGGAAAGAAAAAAGGGGGATAAGCTCCAAAAACCCCAAATGAATACTTATCCGTTTTCTCAGGTGCAGAGAAAACAAAAACTACATTCACAAGTTAGTGGATGTTAAAAGCTACTGGAAAAGTAGGTCAGGACACTCAGTGATGGACCGAGGGAGTGAGGGCTAGGCTGGTCTGACACTTCAAACAGGCAGAGGAAAACTGTAGTAAAAGGCAAACAAAGACAAGAAGACTTTCTTCATGAATCCTAACATTTCCTTTTTTTCTCTTCTAGATGAGGCTGAAGTCCTCACTAATGTGACCATAAACCCCATTGGGAAAGCACACTGACCCATTATTAACAAGATGACCAGCCACCTAATTACCACTTCACCAAAAAGCTATATGCATCAAGCCTAAAGGAAATGGACTAAAAAAAATTCTGATTTTTACAGACCCTTCAGAAACTTTAAGCACCCCGTTTCTAACTCACTAACATAGATGGCCACGTGGCTCATGATAAGCAGCACTTTATGAAACACCCAGACTAGAACAGAGCCGTGATTTCCCAGACCAGCTGTCAGCTGGTGCAGTTTGTCCCAAAAATCACAGCATTTATATCCTCCACAAATAACTAACAATCTGTGCACATCTAATGCACATCACAGAGAAAATATCCCAGTTACCATTACCCACAGATTTGCTTTTTTAGGATGCTTTCACAAGAACATATCTTTATTTTAAACATTGTACAGCTGGATATAATGTTAAAGATTATTCAAGTTTTCAAGACTTACTCGGTTAAAAGAGCTAATCTACCTTCCTTTTTTTTGCAGGGCTTTCTCATCTGGTGAGAAAACATTTTATTCTTTCTTTCCAGTTTCTTGACTATGAACTACCTCAGAGTAGAGAGTGCATTAACTGGTTCATTGCTGCCTACAAGATAAAAATGATAGAAATAGAGAGGATTATCGTCCCTCAGGTCTGTGTGGTTGGTGTGCAAGGAGGAGTTAGAAGTAAAATACTTTTTTTTATTTACAGAAGCATGAATGCTACCTGAGCGGGTAACCAAACCAAGTTAAACAAATGAATCTCCATATATTAGATCTTTATACTTGTGATATCAAAGTATATGAATAAAAAATAAATATTAGAAATAACATTATTCAGGGTTGCCACAGTTTACCATTACACGTTAAAATCAAATTCAATGACCTTTTAAAGGACTCTTCATGACCAGTTTCTTCAAAATCAAGGACCACTCACAGCAGCAGACTGCTAAATCTGAATGTTTTCAATAAATTATTCTAATTAAGTATTATTTTAATTAAAAAGACATAAGAGTATAGATGTTGAATCAGAAGGGTTAGGTGTAGGAATAGGTGTAGGTTGATGTCCAAACCAAAACAAAGCTCTAGTCAAAAACAGAGTCCAAAACTGAGTCCAAAAAAAAAAAAACAGGATGTTCATTTTTCTGGCCCATTGGAACAGAAAGCAGCTTAGCTTTATTCACCCAACTATCCATCCAGAAATCTTCCATACATGGCACTACGCAATGACTCAGCGACTTCGAACCAACGTAACTAGAAATTCACCAACAAGAAGAGCACTTACACCCGTGTATGTGTTGTTAGGCACACGTTAACTACACGCACTATGCACGGGAAACACAACATGAAAATTCGACACATTGACAGCATGCAATATCAACCAGACAATAAAAACCCAGATATTCAATGGCATTCAAGTATGGCTGTCTTTTATATATTTTCAAAAACCACCCAGGGTTTCTTTTTTTTTTTATGTACACATTTTCAAGGATCTCAAGGACCCTGATTATTATGAGTGAAATAATTAATACATTGGTTATCATACAGGAAAAACTTTATACCTGACAAGCCTTGTTACCACTAACCTAGACCAGGGGGAGGTGCTGGATGCAGATGCTTCTATTTATTAATAAAAAATAAAAAAAGAAGCAGTAAGCCACCTAAATCTATTTACGATAAGAGCTGCTCAGTTTCAAGCAGTGTCTTCGTTCTCAGCAGGAACTCCACAGCAGGAATTGTGTTGGGGCTTATCTCAAAGAGCTGTGGGTCTATTCATAGAATTTCTCCTCCATCACTTCAAACACTAATAAACCCTCTGCACTCACTTCCTCCACCCTCTCTCTCTCTCTCTCTCTCTCATAGTTGCTGGGCCGGACCGGGGCCTGAGACTAGGAGTCGCTGATGAATTAATGAAAATGCGGCAGGTCCCTGGTGTTATGTGGGGAGGAGAGGGACAGAGAGGTTAAAAACAGAAAGACTGACGGACCAGGACAGGTGAGGGGATAAACATGGAAGTGTGATTTGGGATGTAGATTGAGATGAGTCACAGATTAGAGCGACTTATTGTACCTTTCCCATCCTGCACAAATCTGTCCTGTCCTGTCTGCTCACTGGAGGTGTAATTCATTTTTTGAAGGTAATAAACAGACTTTTATATAGGTTGAAGGTGTAGCTGTTGTGAATTTTAACATGAATTTTACAGCCCAGTTGATGTGGTAACTGATGAGATGATTCATAAATGTTTTTTCTCCACCATCCATGGCAGCTCGCTGATATGGACACATTATGCTCAGCTAATGGCCTCTGTTTTGCATTCTGCAATGCATCCAGCACTTGTTTATTCTAGGCTAGGTGGAGGGATAATTGTAACACACACTGGTTTATTTATCTATTTTTTCGCAGAAGGGTTTATTACAATGTGTTTGTTAGAAACTGACTCATTAGGAGACAAAACCCTGACCGTCGAGTTCAGCTGGTCAACAAGAAAATACGCTGAACTGTTTTGTGTGGCTGGTAATGATGGGTTTGTGTGGGGAAAAAAAGAGTACAACAAAGTGGGAGGGCAGGGATTTGTGTGACAGTGATAAAAAACACACATACCAGGGGGTGGGGGGGGTCTCACGACATCCACCTACTCTCCACAGCAAGCATAGCAACATACATATAGGGGAGACACACAGAGCTCCTCCGCACCTACACAGACACTCAGGAGCAGTAAAATAAAGCCAGATAATAAACATGGTGGCACACGCAGGCAGAGTGAGTCACTCGGAAATATAACGTGTCAAGAAAGAGCTGCAAGACATCTCGAAACACCCTTATTAAACTGACTTGGAAAACTTTACCATATGGATTGAAATACAGGTTTGTTTAAGGATCAAGGTTCTACCAACTCCACCAGATTTTGGCTACGTTCCCACTGCAGCCTGAAGTGACCCAAATCCGATTTTTTTGCCCATATACGACCTGGATCTTATCTTTCCATGACAGTCTGAACAACAGAGATTCGATTTTTTCCAATGCGACCCAGTCCGCTTGGCTATGTTGTCCTGAATCCGATATCAATCTGATATTTTCAAATGCGACCTGTGTCTGAACGGCCAGGTCGAGTTCATCCGACCTGAATGTCATTAACACCCGACAGTGGTCACTCTTCTGCTTCTTGCTACACAGAAGTGGCAAGAAAAACAACACCAATGGTGGACGATGATGTGGAGAGTAGTATTTATGTTTAACCATCTTGGAAAGATTGAGTTTTTAAGGTTGGGAAAGATAGCTAGATGTTCTCCTGCACTACTTGTGACGTCATTGCGTCCTCTACTGCGCATGCAGGACACTTACAGGACACGTTGTATGGATGCAGTTCACACAGGAGATCACATACAAGTCGCATATATTTGGGAATGTAAACGACAGGCAACGCAAAAAAATCGGATTAAAAAAATAAGAAATCTGAATTAAGCATCAAGGCCCGAACGTAGCCTTTGTGACGTCAAGATTGCAAATTTTATTTTATTTCATGGGGATTTTAGGCGATACAACTCCTCACACAACTTTAAGACGTAAGACAAATTATGTATTAGTTATCAAACTATTTATTAATGAAATAAAGTATTTTTGAGTCTTTTGAACAACAAATACAGAACATTTTCTGCTACTTATATTATATTATTTAGCGCTTCCTATAAGTTCTAACCAGTTTTCCCTCCCCAAGCACCATTCTGTCACCACCATATTATTGACAATAATATTAATCTGTCCTGCTTATTCCCTGTTGTGTAGCTCATAGAGTAGCAGCATTTAGATGGTCCTAAAGCGAGGCAAAAGCTTAGAAACCAATAGTCTTTTTAAAGCAAAGCCCAGTTGCCTTCAACCAATAAAAAGCCAATATAAAGTTCAATTCCTGCTTTATGTCTCTTTTAAAAACACATCTATTCCAGTTATATGCTTTCTTTGGACTTCTTGGAGTTGATAGATTTATTTTTAATGTTTCCATCTTACTATAATAAAAGTCCTTTTGTTTTTATGTCTTCAATCTATGGCTTTTAAAACTCGTATTATTGTGCAAGTGGTTTCCTTTGTCTTTACAATGCTTTTTGTTCACTAACCTTCTCTAACACACCTGAAGCACACAACAGCTGGATTTATACCAAACTGCACATATCTTACCTCGATAAGTGGACTTTTTAAATAATTAGGCAACGTCTAAGGATAAAGGGGGCAAATATAAACAAGCCCTTAATTACTTTTAAACAACTGTGGCAAACCATTGGTACTATGAGTCACTTTGTGTAATTCTAACACATAAAATTTTCATTAAAATGCATGGAATTTAATGGCTATAACATACAAATACCTTTGCAGCACTATATGTACGCACAGTACAGAAAAAGCCAATCACAAATTTATTTTTATCCACTAAATGATTGTGCGGGCACATTAAGAGATTACGTTCTCCATTTTCCACTGGATGTCAGCTTAATATTTTCACATCAGGCTGCGAGACTAAAGCAAACGAGAGGGAGGGAAAGAGAAAAATAAACGAATTGTGTTTTAAGAAAATTCACATTCTTGTTAAAAATAGCATTTCCATCATCCTGCAAACAAATATGATAAACATAACATTAAATGGATGTGCCGTTTACATTCATGTGTTCATATTTGTAAGAAAAAACTGAATTTGCAGTGCTGACTTGACTATTAAGAAAAATACAGAAGCAAATGTCTTTTGTCATCTAGATAAATACAGGCCACTTCTTTGGAGTCATTACGAAGCATTCTGCCCTTCAGAGTTTTTATTACATAATAGCAGGGGTGAGGAACTTTTAGCTATTTTTACACTTTCAGAGAATGAATTGAAGCGATCCTTCAAATTCAAAATAAAAAGGAAGCAAACAGAGTGGAGAATGATTGCAAACAGACAAAATTGATTGAGCAAAAAACTAATTAGACGACACAAACCACATAAGCTGCAGCTGAGAGTTTGTGGAAGCTTTACAGGAGAGGGCAGTGTTGGCAGAATAAAGATCTATCAATCCTTCCTTATTACTATCACAGTTAAAAGAATCGAGCGGACATATAACCAGCACCCATCTTCAGCCAATAAATTATAAAGCAGTGAGACAAAGTCGGAGCACACACACATTCCCGTGTGGGTGGCAACAAACACAGCTGGTATAAAGAAACCAACAAGCTGGTGTCCAAATAAATTCTCAAGACATAAAGCTAGGTTGACACACCATTCATCAGTGCCAAAAACGCCCCTTTAACTCAGCTAAAGCACTAGAATTACAGAGCTCCATCTCATCTTGTTGGAGTACACGGAGTATCCAAACTCAGAAGAATTTAGAGTATCTAAACATTTGCCGCTGAGATCTGAAATCACATCATCTACAACTGGCTTAGAAGTCCTTGACAGGCTCCAATTCCTCAAGAACTGCAAGAAAAATCGACCAACCATGACTGAATGACTTAGTCTCCGTGTCACACATCAAGTCAGCACTTTTTCAGCAAACAGCGAAGAATTATATAAGAAACAAGGAGAGTAAAAAAAAAAAAAGATTTAAATAAAATCCATTACAGAAAAGATACATCCTCAAAGTGGCATCTTCTTTCAGTTCAGTAATGTAATTGAATAGATCCTCAGTAGAGCCCGGGTTCCCGTAATGCTCTCAGGAGACGTTACACTCTGGTAACAGCTTCAGAAAGAAACCCAAGCAGGAAAAGCCTTTTGCAGAATGTAGGAAAACTGGCTGAACCTGTGATAACACCATTGCTCACACGCTTCGGCAGCCTAGAGCATACACACATCAATGCACGGCGGAAAAAATGACTGACATTCTTACCGTACATCGGCCGTGATGGGGGGGGGGAGTTTTTCACTACGAGGACTGGATGTTTCCTCAGTGCAGCTTCAGTTCCTCATTCAGACACACCGCTGTGCTGAGAGGCACTGGAAACGCACACAAATCTGATCGCATATGAAAACACAGAGAGAGAGAGAGAGAGAGAGACAGGGAGAGAGGGAGCTCTGGGATAAATGCCTGCACGTGTGCTCTGAGCTAAAAAGCATACAAACGTGCACCGTGATTGGTGCAAAGTGAGGCCCGGCGCTGGAAATCACACACTATGACAAACACACAAACACACCCTCCCTGCCATGCAGACACACTTGCGCACGGAAGGGGGGCTAAGAGACAACGTCAGAGAGAAACCGTGGCGTGATGACCTTGGATTTTCCTATTCTTCTGCAGTAGCTTTCCTTGTCAACAGAGCAGTGCAGATACAACACTAGCCAAATATCCACAGAGCATGGTGAGTTAATAGAAAGATAGAAAGAGAGAAAACCTTCCTCCCACGCAACCTCCTCTCTTCTTTAGTTAGTGTCCCTCTTTCCCTCCTCTTTATTGTTATAGTTACTGTTTCACAAAGCTTATGTAACTTTATCCCGTCCTTCCATCGTTTCATTAAAGGCCTAAAATTATGGATTTGTTAAATCATCTTTTCTAAATGTATTTCAAGGCAAAGTTATATTTAACTCTAATATAAGGCACATTTGAATTCTTTTAAAGTAACATAGCAGTGCTTTGCAATGTAAAATAATCTATGTGGTCGGTTTAGATAACATGAGGTGTGCACAGCATTGCCTTGCAAAAAGATGGCCCTGGGTTGTCATGCATGCATTCACGCATGTATCTTCCTCCCACAGGTTAATTGGTCCAATTAGGTGTGTGTAACTGTGTGTGGATGTCTATGTGTCACCCTGGGATGGATTGGTGACCTACGTACTATGCAACCCGTCACTGGATGGATAATCAAACATGTTGTAGAACCATAACATTAACATCTTTATGAAACCAGAAGCGTCGGTGCAATGCCAAGAATGAAAGCCATTAGCTATGACCTATGGAGCAAGATGAAAAGCGGATACCTAAAAAAAAATGGATGCCAATTATATGCCAGCAACCTGTCATATTTTGTGCATACTTTTCTAAAAAGCTACAGTCCTTTTTTAGCCAATGCATATTATTTTTTCAGAGGAATCTGTGTTTTTGTGCAATTTTTTTTTCAACTTTACAATGGCGCTCACAGCACAAGAGATAATGCAGCAGCTTCTTGGTCTGTGTCATTTGATCGGTGCTTAGAAAGCTGCCAGCATTAGACAGCAGAGCCCAGAGGGAGAGTTAAATACATGCTAGCCATTTTTCTCAACCAAGTTCACAGAAATATACCAAGTTTACACAGCAAGAAAAACAGAGGTTACTTTTACTCATTTTGATTGTAGATCAAGTAGAATCACACTAAAACATGTTGGGAAAAGAACGTGTGAGCAAGTCTTGACTTGCAAACAGTCTTTTCTTATGAACTGATCTGTGTCGTTCCCTTTTCTACAATGGTTTGGATTATTATATGGGAAACAATTCTGATCTGATATGCCTAACAAATAAAGCAGACAAAAAAATGAACAAATAAAATATGCAACGCTAAAAAAAACATCCAAGAAATCTTTGCAAGTTCACCTGAAGTCAGAAAATCCAATGCTCAAATGTAGGAAGCAACCTTTCATACTACATTCTACATAATAACATTCATAAGAACATGAATTTGCAGCACTTTGCATCTGAACAAACCACTGAGCCACCTGAACAAACCACAATTCAACCCAAATGCATAGTCATCAACTCATTAGTGCTACTACCTTACAGCAAAAAAGCTTCCAGGTTTAGGGTTAACTTGTTGCAGCCTTCATGTGTGCAGAGTTAGAATGATCTCCTAAATCCTGCGTGTGTTTCCTGTGAATTGTCCTGTTTTCTTCCATATACCAAAACATTATGTCAGCTACAACAGGATGGATATTCTATTTATCCATGCTGAGAGAAAACGTAGGTGTTTTAGTTTAGTTTAGTTTTTTAAAGCTAATTAGGTCGCAATATAACTCAATCTATACTTTTCACTAATCTAAATATAATTGGTTTTAGCCCTTTTTAACCAGTAGTCAGGATTTGTAGATGGATGGGTGATAATAAATAAGGAAAAAAAGGCAGTTTCAATTATGTTTTTTTTTTTTTTACATAATTACCTAGAAAACAGCCAAATTCTACACTTTTCCATTATTTTAGCCAATACTTCTCTAAGTTTAGAACAACTCCTGTGTTTAAATTTCCAGGGAAAAAGGATGGAACTATTTTAACTTACACAACAAGATACAAAGAGTGACAAAACACAGAAAAATGTACAAGAGTTTTCTTTTAGTCGCTTAATACAATGATAACCTTTTTTTTTTTCTTCAAAGCTTTCCTTCTGTCAGTGTCCAAAAAAGAACAAAAGGGATGGTATTTTCTCTTACCCTTGCCCACGCGATGGTCCAGAAGGGTACGATAGTTCAGTGCCAGCCTCTGCGTGGCTGGGACATCTGTTGCAGGCAAGGGCATAGCGGGCAAGGCGTACACACACACACACACACACACACTACTCTTCTTTACCCAGACACAGAAACTTGAAAAACGTTTTAAAAAGCCAAGAAATACTGATTCAAAAAGCAACCATCCAAGTCCAATAGCTGTTATTCTAAAACCCTGCTGTCTGACACCAAAATTAGTATAGTTGCAAAAAGCACCACATCAAAGCCTACACTTGTTTTCCCCTTCAAACTTTTGCAAAAATTTTACAAGCACCAGGAAAGAAAAAAATGCAACCACAATAAATTCCGGATGAATACAAACTCTGCGTTCCTGTCCTGAGGCTTCTTCGTATAATTTAAGTTAGCCCAGTCAAGATGCCCGCATTAACTGAGAGATTAGCAACAAATCCTTCAATAGCAGCTCCAGGCTCAGTGTGCATCTCACTCATTAAAAAACATCTCACAAACACAATGGAGCTCACTATCCAACCAAAAGGAGGAGAGGCTGGAGAGAGGCTGGGAATGAGGGGCACCGTGGGACTGTCATTCAGTAAGTGGGCTTGAGGTTCAGGGAATGTGGACTTGGAAGTGATGCGGGTACAAATGCTTGGAATATATTGTCTGTGCTCTGGGATTATTTTTTTCCATGGACACATCTGGAACAAGTCTCTACCTGAACTAAAAGTTCTATGTTTTTATTCAATGCTTATTATCTTAAGTGCAAGATCTTCAATATCTGAGTTATTACTGGTGCAGACGTAAAGCCGATGGGTGTTACTCACCTGTCATGTTTGATTTCAGTCACTAGGGGGCGATGCTCTTCCACTTTCAAGGAGACGAGGAGTGTGGTCGCGCCTCAGGTCTGGGGTGAGCTTCCGCCGGGCCTTCGACAATCAGGAAAACCGCCGGTCTGGCTGCGGCCTGCTAATGTTAGCATGCCCAACTTAACTGCTCCGCAAACAAATTTGGCCAACTTTTAAATGTTTTTTTTTTTCAATAAATCCGGACTATTATATATAGTTACTTTTATACCTTTATTTAAAAAAAAAAATAGCACATAAATAGACTGTTCAGACAGTAATGTTATGAGAATGAATGTGAATTGCTATATAAGCTTTGCTACCTGAAACTAAAATATCACCGTCTACTTATCCTTGGTTTCATTAATTCATGGAAATCGACATGATTATTGGTTAACTTTTAAATCAAAAACAGACTGTCTATAATGTATAAATGCTAAGTTACCTTAAGGTTTGTAAACCTACTTGTTAACCTCTTAGCTGTGTTTAGCATAACGTTATTGAATGAGAGCTAAACAGTTTCTTACCATGAAGCGAAAACAAACTCCTCTAAAGCTTTAAGTAAACGAAGACTTATGGTGTATAACGTTATTTACAATCCAGCCATTCCAAGAGAGTGTTTATTTGGGTCGGGTGAGCGTTCAAATCCCTTTAACCCTAAAGCAGCTGCAGGCTAGCCGCTAACTGACAACCCACCGGGGGACCCCCTCCCTTGGAAACCAGCCTCAGTGTCACTAAGTTTCAACATAATCAGCTCATATCCGCATTGTCGGTTTGACCGAGTTATTTACTGCATTAGTTTGATTCATACATAGTTAGATTAATATTTATTGTCAAAATTATAAATAGATAATAGTACTAATTGCGTGTTAAAGTAGAAACAACCTGTTCAGTGTTGCTCCACACCCAATTTAACAGGGTGGGGCCAGGGTTGTATTCATAGTGAGAAATAACAAAAGAACGAAACAAAAACAAAAATAAACAAGCAAGAAATAAATGACCGGTTAATAGTGTATCAAATAATCAACTAAGTAAGCTCCAGAGCCTCATTTACAATACGTTCTTTAGCCACTACCTTTTTGAGGCAAGAGGCTTATTTTATTTTATTTTTTTCAGCTTTTTTTTTGTTGTCATTACACTAAGGAAGAGGATTAGGGCTACTGAAAAAAATTACGGATTTTTAAATTTTATTTCAGTATAATATGACAAAAAAGTCAGAATTCTGACTTTAATCTCAGAATTCTGACTTTTTCCTCAGAATTCTGACTTTAATCTCAGATCTCTGGCAGCTAACAAACATGTTAGCATCAAGCCGTAGCAATGTCTGTGTTATGAATTAGCTCCCTTGTTTTAATCGCCTCCTGCTCTTCCATTAATGAAATAGCATCACCAGGGACCCCCTGGCACTTAAAAAAGTCACAGAATTCCATTATTTTCCACCAATCTGTCACTGGCCCTCTCAAACAACTCACATCTTTGTCAGTGAAGCTGAGTACTCCCACATATCTTCCTTCATGGTGCCCATCTACATTAAAGGAATAGTACACCCAAAACATGATTAGCCTTCATTTTCTACTCACCCCGATGCTGAACAACACTCTGGAGTACTTTTTTGATATCTCAAATGCATCTGGAGATCTGGGAGGCTTCTTGCTGTCTGCTGACATTCAAATAATGGAGGTCTATGGTGCCCGAGACAGAAAAGTCCATAAAAGTCCACAAAAAACGTGTCAATATTCCTCCATACTGCTCGTCCAATGTATTCCAAGTGTCCTGAGTGGGTAGCATCCAGAATTTACTCGAAACAAAGTCATTTAGATGTTTTTAGAGCATAAACAGTAGTGTATAGGATTTCCTGAAAGCGCGCGCCTGCGAGTTCACGACGCTACGGAAACCGCGGCAGACCAAACCAGATGAAAGTGCGATGAAAGTGGCAGTGGGGCTTGAACTCAAAACCTCTGGAATCCAAGCTCTGTGCCCTAACCACCAGGCCACCACTTCCCTTAGTGGTAAAAGACAGGCTCATGTTGTCTTTCAACCACTGGTTTTCTAATTTGTTTCCTGAAAACAATTTGGGCAATACTGAAAACGGACAGCTCAGGAAGCAGATTTGTGACCCAAAATTATGTAGGGTGAAAAGGGACACCATAAAATAAATATATAATGAAATAAATACATTTCAGGCTTTCACAACCATTAAACACACCAATAATCAAACCCCCCATTAAATAATTAACCATTCATTTAATTCATGCATCATTAAATAATCAAATCTACATGTTAGGTAGCATACAAGCATTTCTTAAAGACAAAAAAAACTGGATTAATAATTTCCTGATTTTAAATTTAGACAAGCCAGAAGTTATCTTTGAATCACAGTCAATATAAAAAGTGTTTATTCATTTCTTCTGGAAGGATTAATCAGTTAAGTGAACTTTCAGTGAACTGTTTTTTCTCCAGTCAATCATAAATTACGTCTTTTCATCCTTCACTTCAGAAAGTAAGAAATAAAGACTGAAATATTTCTAAAGCTTTTATCAAAAATCATATTACAGCAACGTTTGTGTGGCAGAAACAAAATCTAATGATATGAATATATTTTGTGTATCAAAATATTAGAGGTATAAAACATATCTTTACTTAAACTAGGACTGACAGAGGGATGATTTAACCCTGGTTGCCCAGGTTACTGAGAGCTCCTTCCAATCTGCATATTTATTATTCAGTGCTATTATCATTTAACTTTGGAGGCCATGACAGGGACTATAGTATTACTTTGCACTACTGTCTTTTCCACAGTACGGTAATATTATCTATACTTTCATACTGTAGCCCAGTGTTTTTCAATCCTGGTCCTCAAGGCACCCTGCTCTGCATGTGTTGGATGTTTCTGAGGTTCAGCACACCTGATTCAGATGATTGCAGTTCAGCAAAGCCTGATAATCTGCTATCAATTGATAACAGGTGTGTGAAAGCTGGGAAACATCTAAAAATTGCAGGGCAGGGTGCCTTGAGGACCAGGATTGAAAAACACTGCTGTAGCCTGATAAACCAGACTAAATGTGAGATTAAATGTGTAGTTTAGTCTGGGACCGATGAATGAGACATCGGAAGATTGTTGATCAGAACAACCCGTTGTTTTTCAAACCCCTCTCTGTGCCTATTGGCCAGCGCTCTGATTATTGAGCGCAACTGACTGTAATGTAGGAAGCGCGACAGAAAGCTGGCGGGGGAGTGTAAACAAACAGCCTGTCGGTAAAACGGCAAATACGTCCTTCTTAAAAATGAATGAGTGTAGAGCCTCTTCCTGCTCAAGGAAAGGTTCAACGAAAACCCCAAGTCTAATCCTTCCAAAACCGATTCCAAAGCTGAGTCAAAAATCGTCATCAGAGCCACACAGTCCTTAACACACGACTATGCCGAGAGAGGGCCATTGCAGACGGGCTGTGGTTAGCCCTGGCTGCCATTAGTTGAGCTCCTCTCAACTTCGGACATTGTTTTTTTAATTACGCATTAAATCTGTAAATGGACCATATATAGCGTCAAATAATCTTAAAACATATTTTTATTGAACAACAGCAACAGAAAACAGAACTTTTAACTTTCAATGGAGAGGTCAATTAAAAGCTGCTGCTGCCGCAGTGCATGCTGTTGTTCAATAGTTGTTGCCATCTTCCTTGTTGTTCTTTCTCCACCCTCCCGCAGCTTTGCAAAACCCCGCCCGTTTTGCATCCAAAAATTCAAAACACAACTCTGCGTTGTGATTGGCCCGCCAGTTCTAGGGCCTGGGGCATTGATCGAGGCTAGATCAAACTCGCAGGCAAAAAGGATTTTGTCTGCTGGCAGGTGGGGCTAATTCACTAGGCTAATCATACTGTATACTGAGGGGAAATTAATGAGAATGGTACAACATGGAAGAGCTTGAAACAGTTCCTGTCTGGTTGCAGACAGCTTGTGCACTTATTGCATAGTATGCAAATGTCCCTTCCTTTGGTGGAACGCCAAGAAACTGGATCTCCGCTGCTTAAGGACTTGGGGTAGTGGTGGGTGGCTTGTGGAACAGGAGTAGAGCAATTCAGTGGTGTTCCAAGAAGGTGGTCCGTCAGCTCTTCCTGGAACTGCTGCTGATACTCCTTCACCAGATCCAAAACAAAATCAAATGACAGACCGTTCCCTGAGCCAGGCGTTCTGGCCTTTGCTG